CCTGTCCGATGTTTTTGCCCTGCGTCCCACCCCGGGCGCCCCAAGCTCACCAAGACCTCACAGAGTGGGGACTGTCACGCGGACTGATTTTTGCGCAAAGGCCGTGCCTTGCTAGCCCCGGGATTTGGGGCCCGGTTATGGCCACGTAGTTGCGTGGCCCTTTCAAAGAGAGGGTTTGGACTCTGGCCTTGACTTCTAAGACCCCCGGAAGTACGAACTGTCCCTGAGCGCAAAGGCGGAATGGGCACTTTAGTATCAACGATTTTCCATCAGTTTCTCCAGCTCCCAGGAAACGTTAAGCAGCAGCGTCTTTCCTGTAGGTTTTGGGAGCATTTCATAGATGACAGGCTGCATCATTCTCTCTCCGCGGTATGATTTGATTGAAGTCTGCCTGTTTTTAACTCTCTCTCTCTCAGCTGTTTACATAAAGGATACAACAGAATCGTTACTGCTTCTCCAGCCATAGAAATATTGCTAATATCTTCATTTTATAGAGACAGAAGCAGAAGCCAAGAGAGATTACCCTACTTGTCCAAGTTCAAGTAAATATTGCACTAAGACCTTGTGCTCTCCCTCCAGTATGTACTGGATGCTTGGTGAAGGCACCAGGGCACAAAGTGGGCTCTCCCAGCCCCAGGCTTTACCCCAGGACAAGGAAGGATCTGGACAGGTGGCCCAGATCAAGGGTCACTTACTCTTGATTTCCGAGGGCTGAGGGGAGAGTGGGAGAAGGGTGTTCTGCGCGAAGGAAGCGTGTGCACGGAGTCGGGCTCAGAAAGAGCTGCAGGCCAAGGCTGGGAAGACAGAGTAGCTGCAGTCCACTGTGCCCGGGGCAGATGCTGAGGGGTTTTCAGATGCTGAGGGGACTTTGGGCTTCGCGCTTAGATCCCTGGAGGGCTGTCGAAGATCTGCTCTGTTATGAGCAACTTCAAACATACACAAGTCTAAGGAGAGCAGTTCAATAACCCCCTATCCTGTTCCCACCACTCAACCTGAACAATGACGTGTATTTTCGCATTCTTATTCACCGGTGATTTTATGCCCTGCAATGTGAGGAGGTTTCTGTTTTTTTTCTGCAGTTGCAGAGCAGGACTAGGGTAGGGGCAGATGGGGTGCGGGAGGGAGAAAGCAGTAAGGAGGCTGTAGTCAGACACACAAGAAGGGTCTCAACAGACCACACAGAGGGCGCCAGAGCAGAGACCGAAAGCAACACAAAATCCATGGTGGCCAGGAACGCGGGTGGGTGTGGAGGTGTTGAGGACAGTATAGGGTGAGCACAGGGTGTTGAGCTGATGCCAACCCCCCCTCCCCCTTCCCATCTCCTGTCTCCGGGGCTGGTGAGGCGAGGCAGGTGTATCTTCAGGCCCCAAGATGCTCTTTGCTTTCCAATCCTGTATTTACTCTTTAGATCATTTGTCTTTTTTTCCCTGCTAGTCCTGACTTTATCTTGCCAAGGTTGAATGGTAAAAACCTGGTCGTTTTTCCTGGAGACAGTTTCCATGATAATAACTCATAGTTATTAATTCCCAGCCTCACATTGGCCATGGTGCAGAATCCTGGGTGGCATGCACTGTCAAGCAGCAGTTGGTTCAGACTCAATTATTTTGCAGTCACTTGGGAGACAGGCTGTTAGAAGCGGCCAGACACAAAGTCCAGAACTTCCTGACCTTTCCCCTTTTCTTCATGGTTCGGAGCGTGCTCCAGATTGCTGGAACCTAGCAGGGGATGGTAGAAAACCTCTAGATACTTGTCAAAGGTGGGTGCCTCAGAAGGAGGGGCTCCTGGAGTCTTCTGTTTCAGTGCACAATGGGAGGGCAGGTGGGGGCTGACGGCGTCAGTGGGGAGTGGGAGAGCCTGGACAGGTTGAAGCCTCTGCAGATGAGGCCAGGGTGCTTTGCTTGCAGACATACTAAGAAACCCAGGAAAGTGCCGGGAAAGAAATGAAAGCCACTTTTCTCTACAGGGAGAGGTTTGAAGGTAGTAGTTAATTCTTAAGTACCTTTCCCTTGTACCCTCCGGACTAAGCTGAGCTGATGTTCTGGAATTCTTCCCTTCCCTTCCCCTCTTCCTTTCCCTTCCCTTCCTTTGCCTTCTCTTTCCCTTCTGTTTCTCTCCCTTCTTTCCTCCCTCTTTCTTTTTTGAAGTATTGGGAATTGAACCCAAGGCCTTCACACTGAGCTATATCCCAAACCTCTTTTTAAATTTTGAGACAGGGTCCTGCTAAGTAGCTAAGTTGCCCAGGTTGGGCTCAAACTTGTAGCCCTCCTGCCTCAGCCTCTCAGAGTGCTGGAGTTACAAGCTTAGGCTACTGCAACAGTTCTTGAATTTCTTTCTTTCTTTTTTTCTGGTACTGGGAATTGAACTCACGACCTTGGGCTTGCCAGGCAGGTGCTGAGCTAAATCCCCAGCCCTTTGTTCTTGAATTTCAAAGACACTTAACTACTGGCTTCTTAACTGGGAGCTCCCATGGAGAATTTGGGTTTGACTTCCAGCCCTGCAGGCTCTGGTTTTGATGGCTTGGAAGAGCCTTTCAATTTTTTTGTTTTTTGAGACAGGGTCTTGCCATTTAGTTCTGGCTGGTCTGGACTCACTATGTAGCCCAGAGTTGCCTTGAATTTGCAGCAGTCCTCC